TTGCTATTCTAACAGCAGAGGTAGGGGCTTCCGATGACAAGAGTCCCCAAATCAAGGGCCACTGCCACGCCCGCAGTCCCCTGCTTGGGCACGCTGTAATGCGGTCCCACGGTGACCACCTTGGAAGCACTTCAGTGGGACAGGGACATTGGTGAGAGAGGGAACATGACATGTTAACAATTTGGGCTCGGACAGGTTATTCAGTAAGAAGCTCCAGTTACTTCTCCCAGCGAACAGGGACATGTCGCCTGGAAGTAACGTACCTGAATGTCTCAGAGGTGCTAAGAACCGTACGCCCCAAACAGAGTCCGTTGTCTTCCCTCTATCTGTCTCTGTCTCCCTGCACCATCTCCATCCATTTCACTTCCCACAAACTCTGCAGTCTTTTGAAATTCTGCTCCTTCACCTCCCACAACTGGCCCCACCTGCGAGCACTGGGACCGACTGGGAAGCTTGGGGTGAGGGGGGGGTGTCAGGGTCAGTTTTTATAGCTGTTTGCTTCCGTGTTTACAGGGGACACGGTTCCACAAACCAGCTCAAACCCACTGATGGTAAATGGGGTGCTGGGGAGTCGGTAACGCTTCCCCTGGAGTTCCCTGCTGGGGACAAGATCCAGTCCAGCCCCTGGCTTCACAACAGAACATCTGTCACCTTCATTCATCCAAAGGAGGCATAAATCCAGGTGACTGAACCCAAACTGGGTGAAAGTCACTGAGTCCTCCTTGCAGACCGACTACCTGACGAGGCCAGCTCAGGACCGTCACGTGTCCACATAACCACACTGCCCTGCTCTGTGGTCTCCAGGTAGGACCCCAGGTGAGGATGCCAGGAGCTCCAGTGGGTAAGGGCTTTGCAGACTGGTCCCCACTGCTCAGGGTGAACACAGCCTCCTCCAAGCCTGGGCTGGGGACTGGGTGGCCCATGGGAAAGGCTGCCCCATAGTTTCAGAGTCTGATCCTCTGGGGAGACGTTCCTCTTCCCTTTCTCATTTGTCCTCTCTAGTCACCAGCAGATGCTGCGGCTGTGGCTGCTCAGCGTCACCCAACTTGCTCCTTCCTCTGTTCTGCCCCTCGGGGGCTGGGAATGAAACTCGGGGGGGTCTTGTTCTCTCCCCTTTATCCCAAGCCCGGTCCTCCTGGATGGCCTAGTAAGAGCCCTTATTGCTATTTGTCTTTCTTCAAACTATTGTTTCCAGCAGAGCGGCCACCAGGATTCCATCTCTGAGAACAGGATGTGCAGTGCCACCTTGAGGTGCTGAGTGGAGGAAGGAGAGACCGTGACCTGCGGGTGGTCACCAGTGGGGCAGAGGCCGCTGTTTCCCAGGAAGGCTCCATCCTCAGTGACTCCTGGAGCCTTGGTGACCTGGATTGGACTCACCCCTGCACAGCTGTGAATCCTGTTAGCAAAAGCATCTCTAGCCTCGCCCTTTCTAGGAAGCTTTGTGCCGGTACCTGGCCCTTCTGGCCTGTCCAGGGCTCCTGGGAGATGCGTTCAGAAGCTCGAGAAGGAGCTGGAGCCAGCAGACAGCAGCTCCAGGCACCTGCCAGCCTCAGCTTTGCACCGAGGTGCACACGGCCTGTCCTATCCCTCCGAGGCAGCTGCAGGCACATGGCATGGACCTGCTGGAAGCAGGCTTCTTCGCCCCTTGTTCCTGGGGGTTCTGGAACTTGGCGCATCCAGACACAGGTGTGCATGATGGGCAATGGGCAATGAAGGCCACCAGGGCCCCAGGACAAGCAGGCTGTGTCCTGGACGCGGCCATCACGTCTCTGTGGATCTCTTAAATTATAATGTGTTTACTGACCTGTATTCCTTTTAAGGTGCAGTGCTGTGGATTGTCAAAGACCAAGGGGATGGATTTTCCTAGCTTGTCCCATGTGAGCCATGCACGCGCATGTGGTATGAGGCACAGCAAGTCTGGGAGGGAAAGAAATACAATAACTCCATCAAAACCATATGGCATATATTCTAAGAAGACATCTCCCCCCTAGTTTAAGGTTTCTGAAATGAAGATAAGTCAAATCATAATCCTAATGTGTACAGCTAAAGGGGATATCATGCTTTTCTCCTGAAGGACTTTTATTAAAATGACACAGCTTTTAAAAAATCAGTGGTGTCACAGAATTCTTGAGAAACTGTAGCTGTACTAAGAGGCAGGGCTCCCCATAGCTGCCCGATAGAGGCCTGTCCAAACCGGATGTCCACGCTTCTAAAGGATGCGGCACGCTAAGTGCAGGCCCAGGAGCTGGTGGCCAAAGACAGGAATGAGGAGGCCGTCGGGGCCATTCCAGCCACGGGAGAGAAGTCGTCCTCAGCAGCAAGCACCTCCCCTGGGCCTTTGCGTGTTGCCTTACTTCCTATATCCACACTCTGAAGATAAATACACGGGTGACCAAGAGGGGCCCACTTGCCCCAGCGCACACAGCTGTGAGTAACAGGGTCAGGTAAGGGGGGTGGCTGACACAGGTGGTCAGTAAGGTCGGCTGGGGTACAGCAGACTCCCCAGCTCTCAGCCACACACGGTCGAATTTACATCTCACTCACAAGCACCCTGGATGCAAGTCCGTGTTTCCACGTGGTCTCACAGGGAGCCCACTGACCGTGGCCTTGTGTCTCCAGTGCACGGCTCCGCTCTCTCTCTGGGCATCAATATCACAGGCCAGGGAAACGAGTGTGAGGACCGCTCATAGGAAATTTCTAGGGCCGAGCCTGGAAGTGGCACACATGATTTTGGACCAAATTTCATTAAAGATAACAGAGTCATCCTTAAGTGAAAGGGAGTTTGATATGTAATCCAACTGTATGTCCAAACAGGAAATCGATTTTGGTGGCTATGAACATTAAGACAGGTGTCATCTCAGCAAGCTTACTTGTCGCATTGGAGGATGAGTAGTTACTATTCAGGGAGTTAAGTGACATTCCAGTGGAAATGTGAGGCAGAGCAGGGCTGTGTGACGAGGGCCCTGACCCCCCAAGATGGGGTCAGGGAAGGTCTCTCGGAGGAAACTACCTTTTTAAAAATGTCCTTAAACATTTTTTTACTGTGTTAAAATACATATAACAATATTTACTACCTTACCTCTTTTAAAAGTATAGCTCAGTGGCATTTAATTCACACTGTGGTGTCATCAACCATCCATCCATGGAGTGCTCTGTATTTTGCAAACTAGGAACTGTGCACCCATGAAACGCTGTCTCCATTGCCCCTCCCCCGACTCTGGCGCCACCGTCTACTTACTGTCTGAACATGACCGCTCCACCTCACACCAGTGGGGTCATACAGTCTTTGCTCTTTTATGACTGGCTTATTGCACGGCATAAAAAGTCCTTAAGGGCCATCCAAGTTGTAGAATTTCCTTTTCTTTAAGGCCGAGTAATGTTTCATGTTCTGTGGATTTGTCACATTTTGTTTAGCCATTCATCCGTCAGTGAACTCCTGGGTTGGGTTGCTTCCACCTTTTTGGATATTGCACATAATGATGCTATGAACATGGGTGTGCAAAAGTGAGCAATCTTTGGGCCGGCTGAGTGGCTCAGTTGGTTAAGAGTGCTTAAGAGCACAAGCTCTGAGCAACAGGGACGCTGGTTCGATTCCCACATGGGCCAGTGAGCTGCGCCCAAGCTGAGCTGCCGCTGAGTTGCCAACAGGTGGCAGGATGGCTTAGCTGGTGAGAGCACGTGCTCCTAATAACAAGATTGCCTGTTCCATGGTGGGCTACGCCTATCCATGGCTGGGACTGAACTCAGCACCTTGAGCTGAGCTGCCGCCCGGATGGCTCAGTGGATAAAGCCTGTGCTCTTAACAGCAAGGTTGCTGGTTCGACTCCCGCATGAAAGAAAAAAAGAAAGTGAGCAATCTTTTATCTGAGATAAATGAGCGAGACCTCCCTGATGCAAGGGTTGGGAAGCGTGGAGGTAAGAAAATTCTAGGCTGAGGTCATTCTGTGGGCAAGGACTGCACGCCTTTCCACTGTACCCCAATTACATTTCTTTGCCAAAATCCCATCAGTACTTTTTGAATTATAACACAGCTCCAGCATAACCAAAAAAACAAAACAACAAAAACACTCACATTGCTAACTCTGTGTCCATCCCTCTCCAAAAGAATAAATGAGGTAAAAACTTATGAGAAGGTATATTGATAGTATTAAAATATATAGCACCCATACTATACTAGGAAATGGTAAGTTAGCTAGGATCACTAGCTTAGTACCACACGTGAAGCCATGAAACACAAAGGATTTATAGAAATTCGCTTAGGTGTAAGAGTCAGAACAACAATTCACAAGTAGAGGCACGTAGAGGTGGTATTCGGGGAACAAGATAACAACGAGGGGTTCTGCAGTCTCTGTTCTGGTGCAGTGGGTGTGCCCTGAGGGGTCTGGAGAAGATTACTCTGACATTTCAAAGGTATGCTATCCTGGATGCACAGACAATGGACAATTTCGAAGGTAAGGGGTGACCTTTGTCAGGGAAGCTGCAGGCCTGGGACGTGACTACCCGCCGTGACCCGCCTGATCAGGGAGTTCTGTGTTCAGACCGTCCTGTGTGGCTACTTTCGGGCACGGAGTTTGTAAGGCCCACCTTGCTGGGCGGCCCTGAGCTTGTCAGGTTTAATATGCTGCCCCTTTTTTGTTCACAGACCTTAAACAAAACCTGAGAAAAAGCAAATTAAGACTAAGTTTGATCCATTTATGTGACTGGAGCTTGAAACAGAGAAAGTGGAATTACATAAACACAGAGGCTACTCTGATTACAACCCCTCGGTGGCGGACTGAGATGGCTGCAGGCGACCTCCGTTACTCCAGAAGCCAGCGTTGAGCCAGCAGTGAGCACTCCTGTGGGCTAACCTGCCCCGCCCACCTTTCCTGCAGACCCCGCCTCCTTCCGCCCGCAGGACCCGCTCGGCCTCCACTTCCGGTTTCCGGTGTCATGGCGGCCGGTGTCATGGCGGCCTGAGCCCGGCGGTGGCGGCGGCGGGCCCCTCCCTGCGGAGCCGCTGTCCAGCGGCGGGGATGTGACCGCGGGCGCTGCCGGCTGCCCGGGCGTCGCGTCAGCTCCCGTGTCGCCCTCAGTCCGCGCCAATGGCGGGGTCCGGCTGCGCGTGGGGCGCCGAGCCGCCGCGGTTCCTGGAGGCCTTCGGGCGGCTGTGGCAGGTGCAGAGCCGCCTGGGCAGCGGCTCCTCGGCCTCGGTGTACCGGGTGCGCTGCTGCGGCACCCCCGGCTCGCCCCCCGGCGCGCTCAAGCAGTTCCTGCCGCCGGGCAGCACCGGGGCCGCGGCCTCCGCCGCCGAGTACGGCTTCCGCAAGGAGAGGGCGGCGCTGGAGCAGCTGCAGGGTCACCGGAACATCGGTGAGCGCCGCCGGCCCCCCACCGCGCGCGGCCCCCCTTGTCGCCGACCCGGCCCTTCCCAGGCCCCCTCCCCGGGCTGCTGTGTCCGCGCGGCCGAGCCGGGGGCCGCTTCGCCCCGGGGCCCCGGGCCGCTTCGTGAGTTCCGGGTCTCCGGGGCCGCTGCCCTGTTAGCGCGGGGGACGCTCTCTGGCGGCCGCAGGAGGCGCGGTTTTGCTAGATCGCCATGTCTTGCGTGGAAATTTTTGAATCTTTGCATGTCAGTGAAAAATGGGAGGTATTTATTTCTGGGACTGGTGACATTAATGCTAGTAAGTCACGTAGATGTTACCAGACATATGTATCTGGATTTGGGAGAAATGACTCAGTATTACGTGGGGCCCTTATACAAGTCTAATAAAAATGTCTTACTTCCTGGCGAGGATAACTTGAAGGGTGACCTTTTTACGTTACCATTTTGGAGAAGAATTTAACACTAGTGTTGCTTTTTTTTTTTTTAAGTTGGCTACATGGTGTACATAACCATGGTATTTTTTTTTTGTAGTTTTTGCAGGCCTAAGGACTTGTTGACTCTGCAAGATTAGGTTAAGATGTCACCTTGAAAGTCCTAATGTCATCTTTTAATATTTAGATTATAGAGGGCTATTTTGGATCAAGAACCAATCTTCAGTTTTGTTTTTGCACGTTGTGACATTCATCGTAGGAGTAGTACTTAATATTTGGATGTTTACTTTTGATCATATTTGCTTGGCACCCTAAGCGCATATTCACCCACCGCTGAGTGCTTGGCGAAACACGATTTGAATTACTGTGAAATTTAATGTCTTCAAATAGTAATCAGCTATTGAAGGTTGTCTCACTTTATTAAAATAACCCAGTTGCCCCAAAGTCTTATTCATGGGAAACATCAATTACAGAGGACGCTTGCTAAGTCATCCTTATCTAAACTACCCTGGTTTTGTACAGTGCACAGTTCTCTACCTTAGTAGTAACTTACTCTGAGTCTGATTTTTAAAGTACTGTAATTTCTCTTTTTCTAGTGACTTTATATGGAGTCTTTACAATCCACTTCTCTCCAAACGTGCCATCGCGCTGTCTGCTGCTTGAACTCCTGGATGTCAGTGTTTCGGAGTTGCTCTTGTACTCCAGTCACCAGGGCTGCTCCATGTGGATGATACAGCACTGTGCCCGAGACGTCCTGGAGGCCCTCGCCTTCCTTCATCACGAGGGTTATGTCCACGCAGACCTCAAACCTCGTAACATACTGTGGAGTGCAGAGAATGAATGTTTTAAACTCATTGACTTTGGACTTAGCTTCAAAGAAGGCAATCAGGTAAGAAGTACCCCCCCCCCCTCCGCTCCCACAATCATGGTCTAAGCCAAATACACCCGAATGACAGGCGGGGCAGTGGAGGCTCCAGAGGCATTTCTCTCTACGGCACTGAACTACCTGGGGATGAAGCACGTGAGGATGTGTAAAAGAGGACACGTGTTTGGGTCAGGTCGGGCGCTAGTGAGATCCAGGGGACTCGGGAGCTCCTAGGAGTACTTCACCCACACAGGCTGCTTTTTATTCTTTGTGTCTTGGTTACCTGCTGAGTTACCGCGACTGGTGCCTTCAGAGTTGGGGCTCATGGGAAAACCCGTGTGTCAGCTCTGGCAAAGCCTCCATTCGCACAGTGTCCTATTTATCTGCAGTGCCTGACGGGCAAGAGACTGTCCAAGGAAACGAGTGCTGTCTGGGAGGCGTGCAGCCTGCCTCTGAGCGCTGCCTGGTCTGAAGCAGAGTTAGGGCAGCCGGGGACTACGCTCTGGCATCAGCGTGGCGGGCAGTGCACTGGAGAGGGGGATGGAGAGGGAACCATTTTTACTGGTCGTAACACGTACTCTTCTTCTTCAGGATGTAAAGTATATTCAGACAGACGGGTATCGGGCCCCAGAAGCAGAGCTCCAGAACTGCCTGGCCCAGGCGGGCCTGCAGAGTGACGCGGAGTGCACCTCGGCCGTGGACCTCTGGAGCCTTGGGATCATTCTGCTGGAAATGTTCTCAGGAATGAAACTGAAACACACAGTCCGATCTCAGGAGTGGAAGGTACCCGCAGAGTGTGGCGTGGGGGTCAGTGCTCAGCTTATAGGGCTCTGGCTGGGGGCTCTGCTTCGCCTCCACACTCCTGTTCCTGCACGTTGGGCTCCTCTCCCCACAAGTGCAGGCGTGCTAGTGAGCATTGCACGCTCACTGCCCCAGCCCGTGGCCCAGCGTGGAGCGGATGTGTGATCAAGTGTGCAATGACTTCCTTTCCTGAAGAAGCCAAAGTGATTGCTTTTGTTTAGTCCTTAGCTATACTACTTTCTAAACTATTAACAATGCAGCAGTGTGAGTTACGCGGTTTTCTTTACACGGTGCTTTCCAGTTAATACTTTGCAGTTAAGGTATTTTAATGCAGTCGCACTAATCCTGTGAGCGCTGTGAGAATGGCATCGGTTAACCTGTTACGGATGAAAAGCACGGCCCCTACAGCTGGGTTCACGGGCTTGTCCCCAGTTCTGTTCCTCCTGCCGAGTGTCCTGCCCACAGGCCCGCACTGCTCACATTTATTTGTGTCACATGTGACCTTTGCTGGTAGAGTGAGTGCTGCTCATCACACTGTTTCTGTGGGAACCTGGGTTCTCAGTTCCCAGCCTCTGACATGGGAAGGAATGAGCTATTTGTATGTTCGTAAGTTGAGAATTAACCACGTAATGTTTTCAAGCAGATCCTGGGCTTTTAATGTCATGGTGGTATTAGTGCCCTTTAGGCTAGAGGTTTGATAAATGGTATAATGTTTAGGAGTTACTATTGGCTTGGTATGAAATATTTGTTTGGGCACCTAACACAGTGTGTGGCTGTTACACCAAGCAGAGCTTCCTTTCTTTTAACCCCTGTCATCAGCGTTGTGTAGCAGTTCCTGGAAGGAACGCTTTCATAGCCTACTGGTGTACCTAATGCTTACTTTTGGCAAAAAAATGCGGCCACGTGAGTAAAGCCAGCCTCATTCTTTGCCATTGGTGCTCGAGGCAAGCATTCTGTCTCTGATGTCACACAAACACAGACTGAGTCCTTGCTCTAGCGTCAACCCTAGGTGTTGAGCCCTTTGGACTTTGTGCTTGGGCCAGAGCTGATGAGAATAACATAACAAATGCAATTTTAAATACTGCCTTACCTCTTTGATAGTTTATTTCTACCAGTGGAGACCCATCCCTGAGACCCTGCGTCACCTAGCACACATTTGTTTTCTTCGCATTAAACCACATTTTTACGTGGTGGCTTTGGTACTTGTTTCTTATTTGTTCGTGTAGTAAATGTCCCTGGAGCGCCAGGTGCTGAGAGCAGAGGAAGAACGTCCCTCTTCCCTAGAAGCGCCCAGGTCTGTACATCATGTCTCACTGAGACCCTCAGCTCTCAGAAGAGGGGCTTCCTGTCGCGTTTTACTTCCCAAACAGGCCGTGCCGTGTGTCTGGTGCTAAGTAAATGTCACTGAATTGAGTAACCAAAGGAAGCGCTTTCTCCCTCTATCAGGCGAACAGCTCTGCTATCATTGACCACATATTTGCCAGTAAAGCAGTCGTGAATGCCGCCATCCCAGCCTATCACCTCAGAGACCTTATCAAAAGGTAACCGTGTGTGCTTTCAACTTTTTTTTATTGGATAGATTTATATTATTTCTGGTTTGCTTGATCAGGTAGAGTTTTTGCTTCCTTAGAAATAAAAATCTGACTGTACATAGTCTATAAAAACAAAGTGATTGAGTCATTTTACTAAATTTATTTTCAGAGGAATGTCCTTTTGTTCCTGATGAGTACCAGGTCTTAGGCCCTTCCCGGCAGCTGTTCCTCAGTGGAGGTCGGGTGATGGGCCACTGTACCTTTGGCCTCGGAACTCGAGCAGCTCTATATACTTGATGGAAACTAGGCTTTGAGAGAGAGTCTTTATTAGCTGATGATCGAGTTTGCTTTGGATTAGCAAGAAAAGTTTCAAATAAGGTAGTTATGTATTATACTTCAAATAATTTCCATTGAAAACTGGGGACAGATACAGTGTTTCTGATTTCTGAGTAGATCCAATCACAATAGGTATTTTAAAATAAGAAATAATGTGTATTATCCAATAGTTGATTTTTCACATTTCTAGCATTCTGGGCCAGAAATGAAGAAAAATAATTAGTATGTTGCAAAAAGGTAGGTCTCTTGATCAAGTCAGAGCATTACTGTGTCTTTGGAATATTGACCCTACAAATCATCCCATTAGGGTTTTTTTGTGTTTTTTTTTGTTTTTCACTTTTTAATTTGGATAATTCTAGCTTCACAGGAACTTGCCAAATGTTGCAGAGAGGTCTGTGCCCTTCCCCAGTTTGGTCCAATGGTAACATCACACGTAACTAGGACAACATCCAACCAGAAACTGACTTTACAATCCATGGAACTTACTCAGATCTCACCAATTTCACTTGCACTGGTGTGTGTGACAATTAGTTTTAAATAGCTGTTAGTATCTGATTGATAGTAAAGATACCATGTTGCATTTTACATTGAAAAGAGGCAGTCTAACCTTACCTAATGGATTCTGTACATCCGAAACTAGTATAGTATTGTATGCCAACTCTAATTTAAAAAATGGGAAAAAGTGATACGGATTCTCGCTTGGAAGTCAAATTAACTGGTTTCTAGTATTCACAGATTTTTTTTTTTATTATTACACAACCCACTCTTGGGTTGTCGGAAAAGTCATGACATATTTTTTCTATGGTTTTCACTGTAAAAATGCGTCATAACTTTTCCAACAACCCAATAATGCTAAATACTAACCCTACAGAAAACTGATGAGGAAAATAAAAATTCTAAACAATTTCTAGTGTTAGCACTTATTTTCTTTCAGTATTTTCTGTGTATTTTGCTGTATATGCAGGCACATTATTTGATCCTTTTATTGTGGAATAAACACAGACCCTGAGAACGTGCAGCTCAGCGAAGGCTTGGGGATGCTCTGTCCACCATTTAGGTGGAGAAGCACAGCGGTGCGGCGCCCGGAAGACTGCCGCTGCGACTCCGTCCCAGCCTCAGGCCCCTTCTTGCCCCCAGAAGTAGCCACTGCCCTACTTTATGCTAATTACTTTCTCATGTTCATTACAGTTTAGTAACTAAGTGTGCATCCTTAAACACTGGTTTAGTGTTGTTTTTCTGAAAAAAATCCCTTTTAAAAAAGCCTCTTTTAGTCTAAAAAGCTCCTCTTGCCTCCTCACCTCCTCTGTTGTGGATCGTTGAGCAGCCCGGCTGCTGGCTTAGTGCGTTGTCCACAGTCTGATGCTTGCAGACCATGTCATCCTGGCGTTTAAACATTTGTCTGTTAATGTCTTGTAAATCAGTAGCTGTATCTACAGGGATTGATTTTAAAAAGGTGGTTTTTCGCAGGACTGTCGGTGTTGTGTTCTTTCACGAGAGGCACGTAATGGAGTGTCTCTGTTCGCTCGCTGTGTTAGCAGCTGTTACCACTCTGTGCCTAGAGCCATCACTTTGCTTGTTCTGACGTTTGTTCTCCATCTGGTTCGCCACAGACCGAAGCGATGCTTGATTGCCTCTCTGCTAGTTTTCTTCCCCTGTCACCCTCCCACGGGGATGATCTCCTTCCTGAAAGTTCAAATTGTCATTATTAACTAATGGACTTGAATATACTTGACATATACGTGATATATTTCAGTCCATTGCAGTTTTTGTCCGGATTGACCTGAATGTGTCCTTTCTGTGATGGATGTCAGCCTCTGGCAGACCTATTACCTCTGATAACTTCCTTGCTGTCTGGTGTGACAGGCTGTTCCCAGTTCACCTTATATGTTTCCTGCCCCAGGCCTGGGAGTTTCCATATTCTCCAAGAAGCATGGTTTCTTTTAGGGAAAGGGTATTTTTAAGTCATGGTCTTAGGAACACTCCCTGCTACTGGGTGGTCATTGTCTCTAGGCTTTTCAAGTGGACAGAGGTTACCCTGATGCTTCCAGTTCAAATTCAGGACCACCGGCAGCTTCTTTTTTACCTCTCTGCCTCTCCTCTTTGTCAAGAATTCTGGTTCTTAAGGACAGAGGGAATGCCAGACTTAGAATTTTTCATAAACACTCATTTGCTTTATTCCGACTAATAGTACCCTGATAAGATTACTGAAAGCAATTATATTTGCATGTACTTTTCCCATTTTATAAAGAGTTGTATGCGGATCATCGGGTCATGTGGCCGTTACGGACTGTACACTCTGTTCGCGCTCTCATCTGACCGCCGCTGTCATATAAACAGGTTGGATGTTCACGCTGGTCCTTGTGCGACATCTCATCGTGTTAGGGGCTGAAGCTGGTTCTCTGGGTTGCGGGAGTGATACTTGAGAGTTCTTGCATGCTAGTAATAGTGTGTTTACTGTGCTCGAAGGTCTGTTTATCTGGGTATAAAACTGGGCCTGTAGCTTTCATTTCTTGAGTGTCTTGAACATATTACTTTCTTTCCTTCTAGCATGTAGTGTTGCTGTGGAAACATCTGATGGACTCTAATGGCCTTTATATTGAAAGGCACTGGTCTCTTTATCTAGATGTGCTGAAAGGATTTCATCTTTTTCTTAAAAGTCTAGTGATTTTACCAGCATACTGGGGGAGCCAGAAAAAATGTATACAAGCAGACACTTTGGTCAACATTGCTCAAGCAGTAGTTCACTGTAATCAGAAGTGTCTGGATGCTGATGGGAACCACTTTGAGCACCTCTTGTAATTGCAGAAGTCAAACGTGACTTGTATTCAGCTTTTGTTATCGGTATATATTGAGCATTACAATTCTAATATAGTTTTCCTTTCTTAAAATGTGGATACATTTTTTTGGCACCCTCTGTGTGTCTTGATTTGGGTTGTTTGGGGTGGATATTCTCAGGAAAATGTATTTTCAGATCTTGTTTTTAGCGTTTATTCTATTCTCTGCTTTGGTGGTCTGTAGGCACACCTACTTTATATTTATGTGGGTAGGGTTTTCTTTGAGTGTATTCAGGACTACCACTTTCTCGTGACTCTTCTATCTCTTTCATTCCTTCTTTTTGATTTTTAAAGATTTTCTTTCTGCCTTCTATTTATTTGTAGAACATTATCTTGTTTTTATTCATCTTTGTATCTCTTCTAGTTATTTTATGAAATGACTTTTTCTTTTATTTCTAATTTTTTCCCGAGTCCTAGTACCTTATTTTTGAGGCTTTCTAGTTTTGAGTTATGTTGCTTTTTTATGTCTTGTATCATTTTTAAAAATGTCTTCAGCTCATTTTGAAATGGTGGGTTAGAGTGTTCATCTGTATTGTGGTCGTATCTTTCTGGCATGCATAGATTGTCTGAAGGGTGTTATTTTGCAGTTCTTTCTGTAAGAGCTTTGTTATAATAGTTTTATGTAGCTCTTTATTTTTGAAAGATCTGATGGGCTTCATTAAGTAAATTCATGAATTGGGCTGCACCCCATCTAGCAGCTAGTGGCTCGTTTTTATGTAAAATGCACGCACATTCCTGCATTTACAGAAGAAGGTGTAGTTGAGATATCTTTCCTAATTATACAGGGCTCCTTCTGTTGTTTTCGTGTAATGTTAAAAAAAAGTTTCTTTCTCCCCTGAGATCTGCTGTTTCTTCTCCTCCTGTACTATTTCCTGCCCTTTCTCCCTCTCCCCCCACCCCATCCTATTCAGTTTGGATTCTGTTCCCGAGATTTCTTTCCCCTGCAGGACTGTGCCCCAGAAGGGAGCTTCAGCCGGTTGGGTCCTAGAGCCTAGAGGATCCCACCCGTTCAGATCTTGTGGTTGCGACTGCTTTTCTCAATTCGGGGCGCCTTGCCTGCCAGCAAGGACTTGTTGGCTGTTTTGGGTGGTTCTTTCCTCTGGTAGCTGTTGCTTTTCTGGGCTTCCTCCCCATAGATGCTGAGGAGGTGCAAGGCTGACTGCTGTGGGTGGACTGCCCCCCGCATCTTGTATTTTGTTGTTTATTGGGGTTACCTAGCTTTGTTGTCCCATGTTGTCCATGGGGTTGGATTTTGCTGTCCGGTTTCTCTATTATTGTTATTACTCTAAAGTTGTTCTATTTTGACAAGATTCAAAAATCATCTCACCACTTTTTCTTTTTTTTGTTTGGATTACTCTATCTAGCTTTTTTTCACTTAATGTTATAAACTGTGGGTCACTTTCTAAAAATCATGATTGTAAATTACAATATAACATGCCCTAGGTATGTATCACGAAGATTGAAGCATCTGCTCATAAATACCTCTTGTATTTTTTTGGAGATGAATGATTCAGGAAGTCATGCCAACATGTAACTCATGCTGTGATGGACACCAGGCTTTCTTTTCTTTAATGGCCGTGTTTTCCAAAGACTGTTCAGTAGTGGTCACACTCGCTGTTTTTGTGCCTCAGCATGCTTCACGACGACCCGAGCAGGAGGATCCCCGCCGAGATGGCGCTGTGCAGCCCATTCTTCAGCATTCCTTTCGGTGAGCCGCGCGCAGTTTCTTGTTTCTGGGCGCCGACGGTCGGATGGGACGTGAGAGCTCATTTGGCTCCCAGCCCCTGCCTGCTGCTGTGAGTCCTTGGGGCCCTCATCTAACGGTGTTGTGATGTGCCCACAGCCCCTCATCTGGAAGACCTGGTGGTGCTCCCCACCCCAGTGCTGAGGCTGCTCAACGTGCTGGACGGCGATTACCTCGAGAATGAGGAGGACTACGAAGGTCAGCGCCCTGAGCTCGCTTCGTGCGTCTTTCCTAACAAGCCTGCCGCACGCGCGTCCGTCTGGGAGTCTCATGTCACCTGCTCGACGAGCTCTAAAACACTCGCACTTTCTTATTCCTGCTGTCGACTGTGTCCCCCCAAATGCACGTGGCAAAGCCCTGCTCCCCACTGTCATGGTGTTTGGAGGTGGTTGGAGCTTTTAGGAGGTCATAGGTTAGATGAGGTCATGGGGGTGGGGCCCTCATGATGGAGTCAGTGCCCTTAGAGACAGAGGAGGAGCTGGGGGAGCTATCCGTCTCCGCCTCCTGATGTTGGGCTTCAGCCTCCAGACTGAGAAAGAAAGGTCTGCCGTCTGAGCCACTCGGCCTGGGACATTTCGCTAACGCGGCCCCAGCAGGCCAAGGCCTGTCAGTCTCTGACGTCTCACAGCCTTCCCCAAGTCAGCAAAGATTCCTGTTTTCAGCACCCCCTTTCCTTATGGTTATTCTAGTCCTGCCCTATGCTTTTATTTCTTTTAGCTCTCTTTTTTGCTTGTAACAACTTTCTCATTCAAGATGTATTTACTGAGTACTGGCTCTGCACTTGCCTCTGTGGGATTGTTTCCTCTTTTTAGTGTGGAAACAAACAGAGCTTTGCTCAATGCGAAGGTGTGGTGTACAGAGGCAGAGGGGAGGCCTCTGCAGGGCTGGTCAGCGTTGGGTGCCTGGGACACTGAGGGGTCCAGAGGGAGCAGCACGAGGCCTGTGAGGACAGCAGGTGGGGCTTGTCCACCTCAGGGCCTCGACTGCGGGGCAGGCAGGTGGGCTGGACTGTACCTACTATCTTCTAGGCATTTTGTGTGTAACTTTTTTTTCTTTTTTTGCTCCAAAATGCACTGAGTGTTTAAATGTCATCTGAATATAGTTATAAAATCTTAGTGTTTGAGTCTCACGTGAACAAAAGTTCGAGAGACGATAGAGTACCATTAAATACCTTTGTTGGTTATGATTAGCAAAGTCATTGGCAAATACCACCAAATTATTTTCAGGTGAGTTTGCTTAGTTAGAAATTGTGTGTGGGATAACTGTCTTGTCACCTTGTTTTTCCTAGCTGAGCCATCCTGCCACCTGTTGGCAGCTCAGCGGCAGCTCCACTCGGGCCCATGTGGGAATCGAACCGGCGACACTGTTGCTCAGAGCTTGCACTCTTGAGTGAGCTCTTAACCAACTGAGCCACTCGGCCGGTCCTCTGTCTTGTCATCTTGGTGGGGGTGGGTAAGGAAGTTAGATCCAAACCTTCCACTTTAGACCCAGATAAACTCGCAGTCAAGTGAAGATTACAATATTAAGAAACAAAACAAAAAACAGAGGGAATAAAACAGAGATGGAAGAAAGACAGACAGATGGGAATAAAAGAAAAAAAGTTTTAACTTAAAAAAATGGGAGATTTTTAAAAATGATATTCCCGGATCAGGGAAGGCCTTTTACAAACTTGGCACAAGACTCAGAAGCAGTAAAATGATAGATAATTCAACACATTTTACCTTGACAAAAACCACCATAAGACAGATTAAAAGACAGATGACGGTCTAGGAAAAAATATTCTCAGCTCTTCTCACGGAGAGAGGCCCTTTAAATGAACCCAGGAGAGAGCGAGTGAAGGGTACCAGAGCATTTATAGGAAAAGATGTGCCAGAGTATCTCACACATGTTTCATTTATTGAAATGCTACTTAAAACCATACTGTGATGTCTTTGTTACCTATCCCGTTGACAATGAAGAAAATATTTGATAACCTTCAACAGGTAGGGTACAGCAGAGATAGTCTTATAGGTCACTGGAGGGTTAGATCGGTGAGCCTGCTGAAAAGCAAACTGGCAGTGCTGACAAAGTTACAATTCACATCAGTTTGACCCAGCGATTCCATCTCTAGAAAGCCAGCTTAGAAATACACAAATGAAATGAGATATGTACAAGCTTATCTATTGGGTTGTTGGAAAAGTCATGATGCATTTTTGCAACAAAAAACATAGAAAAAATACATCATGACTTTTCCGACAACCAATAGTATAGTGTTGTTTATAATGGCAAAAAGTTTGGAACTAGTTTAATTGTTCAGCATTAGGGGAAATATTAGAGAATATATTGACCATTCATAGAGTGAAATACTACACAGCTGTAAAAACAAATGAGAAAACTTCATATAATGATACTGAAAGATCTTAACGATACAGTGTTAATAAAAAACAAATGTGGACTGTTCTCCTTAGAAGCACATATGCTCGTACTTGCTTGTATAAGCTTGTAACACTGACGGCAGGGCGCCCGAGAAGCAGCCGTCGCTGTCTTCTGGGAGGGACGGACTGGGAGCTGGGAAAGCGGAGGAGGACTGTTGTGGCTTTTAAATCATGGGGATGTGTGAGCTGTTCCAAACGTTAAATTTAAAATATAAAAAGAAAACTATTAAAAGTGTTGAATTTATGTTACACTTAAGCTTGATTTTAAAGGTATAGAACATGCCCTCGTTACTTAGATATGGATTTCTGAATTCTCTGACGATTTAAAGTTTTATTATAGTAATGAAGGCTTGTTAAGTACATCAAAATGGTTACTGTTGTGTGTTTTCACGAGCAGATGTTGTGGAAGATGTGAAGGAGGAGTGTCAGAAATATGGACCGGTGGTGTCTCTGCTGGTCCCCAAGGAAAACCCCGGCAGAGGACAAGTACGTGGACGTTTTCATAATCCTGGGATTCTCAGGTTGTAAAATTCCGCGCTGGGTGTCCTCGTTCTGTGGGGAGAGGGACCCAGGAATGTCAGGATTGCAACATTCTCATTACGGATGTTCTTACTGTCCTGCACTCTTCACTCATTTCCAAGAGTTCTGTAACATGAGTGCATCTTCAATCAGTTGGTATTTGTTCTTTTAAAGGTATGAAGCTACTTTTGAGCCATTGTAAATAGTGATTGCCAGCTGAATCCTGTGCTAATTTAGGGCAGGTTCAGCAACAGAAATACTTGGGCCTGATTTTGTTCTCATTAAGTGGAGTTAGAAAACCATTTAGGTTACTTCCATTCTGATTATGATGGAATTATCAGCCATAATTTAAAGAAGGAAAGTGCTCTGGACTGAGAGGCCTGCGATCTGAGTTCCAGTCTCGACGCGAATAGCTTTGTGGAGATTCTTAGTTTTTCTATCTGTAAAATGTAGGGGAAAACTGGGATCACAGAGTTCTCTTTCGAAACGCTGCGATTCGAAATTAAATTGGATGGCCAAGAAGATAAATCTTCCTTTTGTGTGTAATACCGTTATTTCTTGGGAAACAGAACATGATTTTACTCTGTCGCAGGGCTCCCCAGCCTCGACACGGTGGGATTTGGCTCTGGGCCTTCCTTGCTGGGGGCTGTCGTGTGCGTCAGAGGATGGTCAGCAGCTCCTGGCGCCCCCACTCCCTCAGGTGACAGTGCCAGGTGTCCCTGGAGGGCAAAGCCACCTCTGTGCGGATTGTTTTAGCTTATGGTTCAGGGTTCTGAAAATTCTCAGCAACTGAAAAAAATGAAAGGAATTTCACTCTAGTCTTAGTGAAAAGCTATTCCCAACTGGTGATGACAGCAGTTACCTCATTCAGTGGGTGGATGACTGGATGACATGTACCTGCTATTTGTTTACCCACCGTCCTTAAGGAGTGGCACTGGGTTCCCGCAGGGATGCATGCAGACAAAGGAACTCAGGTGACAAGTACTGTGGAGACAGGGCGAGGGAGGGGCTGCCTGGGTTGCAAAGCAGGAGGAATGTTTCAGGGGAAGTACCCAGCTTTAAGGTGACAAGAAAAAGAAGTCTCCATCTGAGAGAAAATCTGCTACGTTAAGCATTTGAAGGGGCGTGAAAGCTTGTGATGCCTCTGGGGTCACAGGCTGACTTCCTTCTGTTATTGGAAATATCTGTTACCTCCTGGGCAGAGCCTGTGTTCATTTGCATTTTCAGTCCAAATTAACAGATTATGGTTTTTAAGGAATATGATAAAAACCACTGGAAAGTAAATTATGGAATGTATCTTATAACTATAAAAAGCAATCAAGATTGAAATGATACAGCTCTAATATAATTATTTAATTTTGTAATAATTATGAAAATGAGACACTTTCTTTTTCTTTGGTTTGGCGTGGTGTAATGTGTGAGATGATAGGTTATCTGTGCTAGGACGCACAGCACTCCTGTAAGTGTGTCTCATTCACTGGCTTTGCTGTAAGGAGTCAGGAGTTAGGCATCAGTGAGACCATTCAGGCGGCTTCCTCGTTCTCATTGGGTGTCATCTTCTAATGTTCTTCGTGTGTGTTGCTAGAAACAAACTGGCCCTAACACACACTTCTATTTTTGTCGAAAAGGAGATATAAAATATTAAGCGTTTCTGAGATGAGTAAAATGAGCATCAGCTGATTAGATTATGTGTTTCATGATATAAGTTGGTAATACGGGTCTTAGCCAGCTACACGAGGTGCACCAGCTCTGAAAGAAATCGCACACAATTAAACAGGTGCCATCTTCTCAGCAGGTAGATGGAAAACACAGCCTGGCTGCCTGCGTTGCTGTGGCCGTTTGGAAGTGCTTTTATTCCCAGTTGCTGACCCGGGTTAGGGATGGGTTTTCAGAGGGGCTGGAAAGCCCCCTGATCTTCCTGTGTGTGAAAGGCAGTTTTTGGTGCTGGATGATCTGTCTTTGAGAGGAACGCATCGCTTAGAAATCCTCAGGGCAGGAAAGGCACGGCCACTCCCAGCTCTGCATGTCGTTCAGAAAGCCACGCCGTGGGCCTGTGCCCTGGACCTAATGTCCCGCATCATCCTCGACACAGACGGCTTTGTTCACCCTATAAACCGCGCTTTGCTGGCACAGCCTTGTAATGAACGGCCACACACCTTACTTAGCGTGGTGGTCCCATAGGATCCTCACGGAGCGGCTTGTCCTGTGAGAAATGGCAGGATTTGTGGTCGGAGGATTGTTTTCCTCTGACAGTATCTGTGGGGCTGGACAACAGACCCCCTCTCGCTCCCAGCACCTCTGCTCTGAGTGCTCAGATGATATCCCAGTCCGTCAGCCATGGGCCTGTTTCAGCCTAGGGGAGCCTATCCCTGCCCACCCAGCACTACGTGCTCAGGGGCCATCACAGCTCTCCCAGGTCCAGCTTGACCGTCCTCAGGGGACACACTGCTCTGAATTCTTTGTCACGGGCCTGAGACCCCGCACGAGGACACAGGCCCACAGGAGCCTCCTCAGCACGTAGGAAGTGCCACTGCCACTTTCATGAAAGCTGCCAGTGGCCGTGTGCAGCCAGCCTGGCCCTGTGCTTGGGAAATATTTCCAGATTGTAGTGACGTAAAGCACAGAGAAGTGTTATTTCTTCCACCAGTTCGGTGCCAGAGAGGGCCCTTTGTGCCAGATGGGGTCAGTGGAACCAAACAGATTCCCAGAGTCAAGGACCGAGTCCTCAGCTCCACACTGTCCATGTCAAACATCCTCTTTTACGAATCCCACCAAGTCCCTAACCTGACCGCTGCTCCCACATGCAGTGCCAAAGCCCCCTGCCGGTACAGTCCCCTGCTGGCCTTCCTCTCCTACTGATTCCCAGGCGCCTTTCACTCCCTCCTGACGGCCACCATCACGGTGATCTACGCCTCAGCCAGTCTTCTCCGCATTTCCAGTTAGTCTGCCCACGTCCCCATTCAGGGAGCAGTGGGGATGACTCCCAGGTCCTATTTCTGACCCTTTGGAAGGTGGCGGGGAGGACCTGTGGGACCGTGTTGATGAAGCCCCCAGGAGTGGACAGCCGTGTCCTGGGCCAGCACACCCACTCCCCTCTCACTCACTGCCTCACCCAGAGCGGCTCCCCGTCCGCGGGCTCCACGCGTGCTGAGCGCTCCACACAGGTGCCATTTGTATCTTCCTGCTGTCTTGTCACTGCACGTTTGCTGTGCTCAGCTGTGTTTGGAGACACAGACACTTGATTGCTTCCGGAAGTCAGTACAGCCACGTGTGTCCAGGCCTGTGGCCCCGGAGTGTGGGCTGCCCCATCCAGGTGTGTGGATGTCATCTGTGACGTTCGCCGAGGACGTCGTTTCTGAGGGGACACGTGCCTCATTACACAGAGCATGATGGTGTTTGGAATCGCGCCTCCTTCCCATGCCCTGGCGGTTTTATAGCCTGCAGAAATAGCTTTGATTTGTCAAGTGGGAGAAGGGCTCCTGTGGGGTGAAACAGCACATCCGGCCGGAACTTCTGGGCAGGTCAGATTTAAGAGAAAGGCACAAGCCACAGTTGAGAATCTAGAAACTGATTTCCTTAAAACTGGCTCCTCTGACGTCCCCTTTGGAAGTCTGTGTCCGGGGACACTGTTGACGTAACAGCTGAGGCGGGAGACGCAGCTTGTGTCCCGGGTCACAAATTTACGGCTAACTGAGGACAGGTCCTGCCAAGTCATGTCGCCTCCCTGGAGCCTTTGCATCAGATCGACAGAAGGAACTTACAAATTGTCCTGCCATGCCCCCTCCCTCCTTTGAGAGGGGTTCAGAGGCTCTGGGAGGGGAAATGACCTAGTTCCAAAGGTCTTCCTCCCTGGAGCTGTGGCTCCCACAGGTCTTTCCATAGGTTTGGTGTCCAGGGGCCGTTTGCGCTGTCCTTGGCGGGCCGTTCGCCTGTGTGGACTGGGCGTGGGCGTGGGCACCACCTGGCTTGCCTTTGCTGGGCTTTTCGGGACTCGTGAATCTCACAGATGTGGCCGGCAGAGCAGCTGCTCTGCTGTCACCGGGGTCTGTCTGTCAGGCAGGGACTCGGGCCGTCAGCCCTGCAGAGGGCGGGGGACGGAGGGCAGTTGTAGACCAGTGTAGGTGGAGACCAAGTCACCTTGTGCTCTGTCCCCACAGGTCTTCGTAGAGTACGCAAATGCTGGCGACTCCAAAGCTGCCCAGAGGCTGCTGACTGGAAGGATGTTTGACGGGAAGTTCGTGGTGGCTACTTTCTACCCGCTGACCGCCTACAAGAGGGGCTACCTGTACCAAACCTTGCTTTAACCGGTGCCCCTCGGACTGCGTCCTGTCTCGTCTTCGCCACCCAAGTGCAGAAGCACCGCTTCCCACTGGGAGGGGACACCTTGTCCACGTTTCATCCTGCTAGCCTGCGGCCACTGCTGACCCTGGGCGCGCGGAGGGCCAGGCCTGCCAGCCGCACAGCAAGGGTGCGGCGTCCTGTGGGCACCTCTCCTCATGGGGGCAGGCGCCGCTCTCCAGCCGTAACCTTACAGTTAACCCATGTGACCCCGAAGCAAGGAGGAGTCACCGCGTCCCAGTGAACATCAGCACATCTGTCAGAGGGTGACATCACTTACATGCTGTTCCTTTATGTTGTCAGGCAGGCGCTGGGGGCTCCCAGTGCCGTTAGTGACAGGTGACAGTCACCCACTGTGTCATAACTGAGTTCCGGGGCTTCCAGGGGGCGCGGGAGTCCTCAGCACTCCTTTGAGGACGCGCAGGGAGCCTGTCCGCAGCGTGGGAGCTGACGGCTCTGAAGCAGGAAGCGGAAGCTTGGTCTTGCACAGCTTGTGTCTGGTGTGTGTGCTTGAGCGGTGAGAGTGTGAAAGGGGACATCGGAGCCTTGCACTTCTGTGGGAGCCGGGTGGGCGGGGCCATGTGTGTGCACCGCCCGCCTGTCCCACGCCTGCAGGGTAGAGGACGTCCACTTCTGAGAGTCGCTCTGTCTGATGGAAGGCGATGGAAAAGCACTCCTCCCTGAGAGGTCCCGGACAGTCCCGGACAGGCGCGTCCACCCTGGGCTCCGCTGAGCCTCTGAGCGCGGCTGCGTCCAGGGGTGCCCTGCTGGACGGGG